GATTTCAACTCTACTCGTCACCCTGATCACTTTGGTATATATAACCCTATATCTGACTCTTTTAGTTTTAGGACTAACAAACAACCGTTATGTGAACAAAACTATAATACTCTCTTTWGCAACTTTGTTGCGAGAGTATAAAAAAAATATTTTACATCTACTATTTTGACCAATGCTATTTCTTGTTTTGAAAAAAAAAAAATCAGTTTTAATATTCGGAATGAAAGATTTCCTACATTTTTAATAATAATAATAATTTAATAAAGCAAAGCAAAYATACAACTGAAACTAAAACAAAATTATTTTAATTGCAAATATTTTAAAATTATTAAATAATAACTATTTACACCTAATATTTTGTCCTGTTTACACCTATATTTTTGTTTTATAAGTTTAGATCTAGGGTATGGGTCCTACCATTCTGGAACCAGCTGCAGAGTATGCAAACTAGTCAGCCAGTTCATTGCTGGCTACCTGGCGCCCAGTTGAGGGGCACGTACACCCGACTGTCATGGAGACTTGAGGGAATTCATAAAGTTATGTGATTAGATTTGCTTAAAAATAGTATTAGTTTGTTTGAGACCAGTTTACAAAGATAAGTTTTATCGTGTTTATTTGACAAAATAAATTATATTTGTGTAATTATATAAGAGTACTAACCACACTAAAAACGTAATAATTGAAAATGACAAGTACATATTTACTATACATTTGACACTTGAGAATGCCTGATATTGTAATATACACTTTACATATTATACACACGCATTAAACACTTAAGTGCTTCCTTTGTGTGTTATTGTGATAGATAAGATTCTTATATCGTTATCTTCAGAAATATGAGGGTTATACTATATAACGTAACTAACTTATAAATTTCTCTTTCGTAACTTAGATGTGCAATATGCAGATAGATGCTTATAGTACGGTACTTCAAATCGGGAAAACGTATTTTGCAAAAGAAAAAATTAAATGGAATTTACTAAACTACACTTGTTTTCTAAGTTTATTTTATTATGCCCTTTTATTCATTTCTACGCATTTATTACAAAATTATGATAATCGTGATAATAAATACTTCGCTAACAATACTTTAACTCGTGTTTATTGGTAATTTTGCCTGTTGTTCCCATAATCAGTTTATAGGTAAACTACTACTACGTTAAGCTACTATTACGCTACTTATGCAATAAATAGATTGCCCAGTAATCCGTAAACGCGGGATCAAGGCCATTGAATTTATATATCCGATTAGGGATCACATCGCCACAATAGCGCCCAGCATGTTCTTGGAACTAATCAGAGTGCTAGGCCGGAGAGGGCACAGGTTTGTTGCGTCCCTTTTTTCATTCTCTTAATCCAAAAAAAAATTTAGTATAACAAGTAAGTAGTAATCATTATTATATTTGTAATAAGATTTATTTAACTTTATGGATGTGTTAGCAAATGCAAGAAGTAATGTTGGAGATGAGACGGTAACATTATAATAATTTAATTTTTTATCATTTATTTAACTACTTTATCCAATGACGAAAAAATAACAAGGCACTATATTGAAACAGCCTTTTTAATAAATAGAATTTTGTATTTTTATAGGGGTACTTACCCTTAAAAGCCATGTAAGTACACTTTCACGATATGGTACAAATACCGATCCATTCACTGTGTTTTTCTTTGAATCTGCTAATGCAGCAATTACTTTGCCCAATGTCAATAGACTTTTATTTATACTAACACCTTCACGTATGCGATCACCATTTGCGCCCACCATCGAAATTCGTTCACTCCCCGCTAAATCAACCAAGCTTATCCTACTTCGACGAGTTTGACGTGTACCAGTCTCATCAGATTTATTTTTCGACAAATCATCGCTAATCTCAGTCAAATTTAAAACAATATTAAATATCGAATGAGAACGTGAACTTTTRTCATTCATTCCTGTAGCCGCAGTTGCACGTTGTGAGTTACCTACGGCAAGCCAATTGCGCATTGCTTCGTACGAATCTACGGGATGAATACTTAAATCGACTACATATGGGCCCCAAATAGGGTGTTCTCGCACTTTCAAAGCAGGCCGATTTGTGACGCTTGTTGATGTTGGTGTACTTGCAACATGTACGCTTCCCACACTGCAATTGCTTTCTGAATTTGTAACACAGAGCAAATCATGTATTTTCTCATTATATATTTCAAAATAACTTATTTCGATTTCTGCACGAATTGAATGTTTCGTATTTTCCAAACGCTTAAAAAGTTCTCTACAAAAACGTGGTATTATACCGGCATCTGGATGTGGTCTGCTGTTGCCAGATGCATCATCGTCTAAAGCCTCAATACCCATCATACTATATGATTTTCCAGAACCAGTCTGGCCGTATGCGAAAAGGCACGCATTATAACCTTGAAATGCTCGATCTATTAAAGGCATCGACGTACCTACAAATACATCGTCTTGATTTGCGTAAAATTCATTATCGGGATCTGTAGAATCGAATATGTGATCATATGTAAAGGAATGGGTAAGTCCCGCAGTACAATCAGCAGTCATGCCGGCCGAAACAGTCAGCTCATTACCGCAAACACGTACAACATTTGTCACTTTGGCCAGCGAACACTCTTGAGCATTCAAAGGGCGCACCCGTACTGCAACTGTGAGATTACTTATCTCTGTATCATCTACTATTTGACTTCTTGAAGTGGCTTCAATATTTTTCCCTTTCGATTTTGTGGCGGAGGTCGCTGAATATGGAGTGCGTACTTTATTCAAAGGTGTCGACATAACATTTCGAAATAGTGATGATGGTGTATAACACGCATTAATTGCCGTCGAACGTGGAGTAATCCGAGGTGTATTCATACGATTATCGTCACTTAATACTTTATTTAATATTCCTGATTTAGTTCCACATTTATCTTCTAAATAATTTTTGTACCCAGACTCTGCTTTATGTACAACCCGATGCCTTAGACCACTTGGAGTCAGTTTCGATCTTCCATTCATAACTGGTGTTAATTCCCCAGTAGAAGCTGTATTTGTACGATACCGAGTAGACACACTTTTGCCACTCATAATTATAAAGATTTTAAATAATAATGAACAGGAATTCAATCACTGGTTAAATATTTTAAACAATTGAACGTTTACATACAAAACGCGCGTTCTGTTTTGAATTATTTGAGAATATGACATTAATGCAAATGCACATTTATCGATACTAAAACAGGGTGATCATAGGCCCTAACAATTATTAACTTCTAACAAATTTTGCATGCATAGATTATTTTATTTATAATTGGGGGATTCTCTTGCTCTTGCGAGATTGCAGATTTCAAAAATCGWATACCGAAATATACAAGGGCACGAGAGCACCCATTGCAGAATCTAGTGATATATGAACGGCGGATTCGGACAATTTATTGTAAATGACTATTGTGCATGGCTATTGTGAAATGGCGCACCTTCTGCATTCATTCTTTACAAARCAAACTGTAACAAATCTTTAAAATTTAAATAGAAATTATAAAATCTATATAAAATTTACCTTCCTCAACAATTTAACGTCAAAATTGGTATTTAAGTAAAATGACATCTAGCACAGGGATGCAATTATTTTTTTACGTGTCACGAAAATAAACATGCATTTTACAGCCCTTGCAAATATTTTTCTGCGTGTGTTTGTTGTTGTGCCGTTGCATTAGGTGGAAAAATCTGCCTCTAATAAATTTTTTTTGTCAACGTATGGGCTTTTAAGGTTCGATTTCACAATGTCTGGTTAGCAGCAATCTGACAGTTATATTCTGTTTAAAATAGGTTCTTTACCAAGAGAAGGAGACTTTTACATAGCCTGAAGAGATGCTGCGTAGTTGATTTTGGCAATTTAACATTTGTATTTGTTAAAAGCAATTTGCTGTGAACCAGCTGTTTCTTCTTCTTCTTCTTGATTGGCGTAGACAACGCTTACGCGATTATAGCCGAGTTAACAACAGCGCGC